TGTTACGTGTTACAAGATAGCCAGATCAAGAGTTTACTGTTACGTGTTACAAGATAGCCAGATCAAGAGTTTACTGTTACGTGTTACAAGATAGCCAGATCAAGAGTTTACTGTTACGTGTTACAAGATAGCCAGATCAAGATTTTAATGTTATGTGTTACAAGATAGTTAGATCAAGAGTTTACTGTTATGTGTTACAAGATAGCCAGATCAAGAGTTTACTGTTACGTGTTACAAGATAGCCAGATCAAGAGTTTACTGTTACGTGTTACAAGATAGCCAGATCAAGAGTTTAAACAGTCATGCCTGACCGTATTTTTGTATATTGTTGTTTCAGTTTAAACAGTCATGCTTAACCGTACATTTTGTATGTTGTTGTTCTACTTTAAACCGTCATGCCTGACAGTATATTTTGTATATTGTTGTTCCAGTTTAAACAGTCATGCCTGACCGTATTTTTGTATATTGTTGTTCTAGTTTAAACAGTCATTCTTGACCGTACATTCTGTATATTGTTGTTCTACTTTAAACAGTCATGCTTGACCGTACATTTTGTATATTGTTGTTCTACTTTAAACAGTCATGTTTGTTGTACATTTTGTATATTGTTGTTCTAGTTTAAACAGTCATGCTTGACCGTACATTTTGTATATTGTTGTTCTACTTTAAACAGTCATCCCTGACCGTACATTTTGTATATTGTTGTTCTACTTTAAATAATCATGCCTGACCGTACATTTTGAATATTGCTGTTCAGTTTAAACAGTCATGCCTGACCGTACATTTTGTATATTGTTGGTCTAATTTAAACAGTCATGCCTGACCGTACATTTTGAATATTAGTATTCCAGTTTTAACAGTCATGCCTGACCGTACATTTTATATATATATTGTTGTTCCAGTTTTAACAGTCATGCTTGACCGTACATTTTGTATATTGTTGTTCAGTTTAAACAGTCATGCGTGACCGTACATTTTAAACATTGTTGTTCCAGTTTAAACAGTCATGCCTGACCGTACAATTTGAATATTGCTGTTCCGTGATATTGTTTGCTGTTTACTGCTTTAAAGCTTCCTGTGTGCTCAGGAAAAGAAGTGGATGATAATCTATTTTATTTACTTTTATCCAGAAACATCCATTCATGAAGATAAAGAAGTCGGAACACCTGCTACGACGTTCCAGGTGATCCTGGTGACACTTTTGTGTTGTGGCGTTCTATTTCTGTACGACGGCCTGCAGGTTAGAATTCTCTCTCTCTTAAATAAACGTATATAGCTTGGGTTTAAATATATTCGAAAATGAATGATATTTACTAAAATTCTCGCTTTCAGAACCATTCAAGAAATTTAGGCAAAGACATTTTGATGTAGGATAAGGGTTTGAGATACATTTTTCGGACTTACCTTTGGAATGCAATGTTTATTATGTTTTATTTTCCATATCAGTTCTGGTTTACGTTAAAACAGTAATTTATGGTGAAGTTAAATAATGACTGTGAATGGCAAGGTTCTACACCTAGCACATCCGAGAGTTCATGCTTCGCGTCCTGTTGCCACAAAATCGCCCTCCGCACTTTGGAACTGTAGCCCAAATCCCACTATTCAATGAGAATAACCCAAGGGCTGGTGCCGAATGGTTTTGACTAGCTACTTTCCCACTGGTGATTAAGGCGCTCGACTGATAACCTTCGAGTTGCGAGTTCGAATCTCGTCACCAAACATGATCGCCCTTTCAGCCGTGGGGGTGTTAGAGTGACAATCAGTATTCGAAACAACAAACAGTCTCTATGATTTCCTGATTTTTTTTAGTACATATGTAACATATGCTGACAGACAATACTTTGTTTTTATTTAAAGTACAGATAAGGGAAACTTTAGGCCATCAACCAGAATGAGATAAAATCGTTCACATTTACACTAAGTATAGTGTGTTCCTTTAGCAAAGCTTCAGTTTTATGTTCCTTTAGCAGGCTCATGTTTTATATTCCTTTAGCAGGATTATGTTTTATGTTCCTTTAGCGAGCTTCAATTTTATATTCCTTTAGCAGGCTTCAGTTTTATGTTCCTTTAGCAGGCTTCACTTTTTATATTCCTTTAGCAGGCTTCAGTTTTATGTTCCTTTAGCAGGCCTCAATTTTATATTCCTTTAGCAGGCTCATGTTTTATGTTCCTTTAGCAGGCTTCA